CAATCCTGTAATAGTGAACATATGCACCGCGTTTTCGCTTCTTCTGTCAGCTTGTCTTGGATATGTATTTTTAACCCGCAGCACAGTTCGCCAGTTCAACTCGTTGGGATGCGGCATTTACTTAATTCTGATCTAAAGTCGAAGGCATGGTGCTTTTGCCTGCAAGCCCTGGTTCCCTTCGTCGCTCTTTTATTATCCCCAGGGGTTTAAACTTTCAAAAGAATGATCTCTGACTTGCTTGACTAGAAATGTTTGCTCAAAGTTTTACCTTACCTGTGGCAAATCACGTTCGCCAAAATTTTTTAATATGTTAAGATAGGTGTACTCTCTCTCCCCCTTTGAAAAGCTCGCTTCTGTGATCCCATGACTAGGGATTCCGGGTTTGAATCCCAGGTTCCCCATTACTAGGGTCTAGTCTGACTGACTGTCGACGGCTAATATGAGAGAAATGGTCATTCCAGTTTCCTTGTCCCTTACTCCTGGTTAATTTTGTCCATGCCTGGAACTACGCTATTCAAAAATACGTCAACATTTGAAGCAACCGCTCTAGAAAAGCTGTATAGGTGTAGCAGGTACAGAATCACGGCAGGAGCAAGAAGGCCTCAGGCAACTACGAAACAATCACAGGCGAGCACTCTGATGCCCTGCGTTCTCATATACCAGCACGCCCGCTGAGCCAACGGAGGTGGACTGGGACTGGGACAGAGAGAGAATGTATTCGAGCCTGTTGAGGGAACATGGGCAAGCCACCATCCTGGCTCTGAGGGTATGTGCGCAACTTAGTTGGTAAAAGATCCAAGGTTAAAAAATTAATATATGCTTGTACATACAAGAAGACGGTCCAAACTTCTGAGATGAAGTATCTTGCAGACTAACATCCCTTTGACCCAAAAGCGCCTGCTGCAGTCCGGACTTCGACCTAGACGCGACACCAAAAACCAAACAACTGCTCCCAACATCAGTAATTTCCTTATAATCATCTAGAAGGAATCTGTCCTAGAACTCGCCTGAATATTTTACACTACAGAGCTTCAGGTTTGATTACGCTGGTGGGTTTTGTGCAAAAAATCGTATATAAAGTGGATTCTCGTTAACTGATTCGAACCTAAATTTTAAGAAGAGGAACGAATAATAGGCATATCACGAATTAACCTGGCGTATAACGGTCACCGTTTAACTTGACTGAACGGTGAGTTTCCCAAGTTAGAACGCAGAAAGGCAAGTCTGAAAGGGTAGCTTTAATTTGGAGCAGATAACGAGACGTTTTGTGGACCAAAAAGTCAAGTGGATCGCATAGTCCATGCGCGTCTCCAGATCACGTCCATCGGTCAACCAGGAAAACGCGCGGCCTAAGGGCACACCTGCCGTGAAAATGCCGAGACTGAAAAATCAGAATCACATTGAACAGCAGTATCCGCTTCATAGGCGAATTAGAGCAGCAGTGTTAGAGTAAATCAGTAAACTAACCCCCGCGGATTGGTCCCACTGCATGTCTTAACTCTTTTATGAGCTTCGAATAATGGAACGAATTGCCAATGGGGTCGAAACATATCTGCCTAATTTGTTCTGATTAATCGGAATCCGATGCATATGCCTTACAGAAGTAAACCTTCTAATGCATTTTGGAGTTTAATGAAGGGACATCGGTGCCAATTCAGAAAAAGATATTTATCGTTCTCATATTGAAATGAGGTCTGCTGCACATGGTTACAGATTTAGTCTTGTTTTTTCTGCAGCCAGCCTCGTCTACGCAACGTACTCTCGAAAACATTCATCCTTGTGGAATGCAAGAAATAAATTTGAGGCCGATTATATGAAGAAAACTGCAAAATCTACGCCTTCTTTCATA